GGGCGAGAGGGGGGCTGAGCCCCCTCTAAAAAATTTATAGATTTCGAGCATTAAATTTAAATGAGTTTACCTCTGACGGAGTTTAGAAAATTTCTGGGCTGAGCCCCCCTCTAGATCAAACTCCTGGCTCCGCCACTATTACGTCCTCCGATCTTCTCTATCCAACGGTGAAAACCGCATGCCTCTAGCTCTTTCCCTTCAAAAGTTATAAGCAATCTACCCAGGCGCCTTTCTTTTTTAGAACAGCAATAGTTCTCTCCTCATCTCTTCCTCACGACACAATAAATAGAGACATCTATCGTGTGTGATGGAATAGATGAAATAAGCTTTTTATTTAAGCGTTGATTGGTTGCCAAGCTCTCCGTTAACAACTGTGTTAGTAATTCATCCTCTGACTTCGATTATTATTTGTATCGTACAATTGTTTGATATAATACAAGAAGACGAACAGAAACCGATCTAGGAAATTAATACATTCAAACTTACAATGGATACTGTAAGTTATCAATCAATTAGTCAGAAACTACGTTGAGAGAGGCCTTATTAAGATGAGAGAAGATGACAATACTTTACACTAATATGTTATACTAAAGCGCTAGACTTATGTGTAAAAAAGATAAAGAACAACAAAAATCAAGTTAGAGCACATCATTCTAAAAATGAAAACTTTCGAAATTGTATGATTTTATATTATTCAAAAATATCGATGGATTAGTTGAACATCAATCGGTATCTGATAGCAGATTCCATTTAGTGCCTGTTTTAATGGTAAAAGAAAGACGCAGATTACCTTTTAATAGTGCACAGAGATTAGAACCCACCTAACGAGGTGTTTCTATTCTTCTCTCTTAAAACATGTCTATGTAGATATTCATCTTTTTTTAGCCATCAACTGCACAAGTTCAACAAATTCGTGATATTACCCGAATGGAACGCATTGGTAAAATAAACGTTAAATAATTCTTTCCATGATACAATGATATCAATTTGTATTTGATTTGTTAGGTGCTCATTCGCACATTCGGGGTTTGGGTCTCAATGATAGTCTTGAAGCCCGCGCCGTTTCTCAAGGGATGGTGGGACAAATAAAAGCGCGACGTTCGGCTGGACTTATACTTGAAATGATCAAAGAAGGAAAAATTGCTGGTAGAGCTTTGTTAATCGCTGGACAACCGGGAACAGGGAAAACGGCTATTGCAATGGGTATGTATATTGAATTTTGTTTTTCATAATAACTTTGTTGACTTCGTTTTAAGGCATATCACAAGCACTTGGTACCGATACACCGTTTACAGCAATGTCCGGGAGTGAAATATTTTCACTTGAAATGAGTAAAACTGAAGCATTAACCCAAAGTTTTAGAAGATCAATCGGCGTTCGAATCAAGTGAGTATATTGTTAAACGGTTTTTAGACCATATTTGTCTGTAGTTTTGAAAATCGAACAAATACTTCTGAGGAGACTTTTTAAAACTATTTTAAGGTGTTAAATGTGAATATACACATCGGAGAGATAACAGTAAACTTAGAGAGCAAATACACAGTTTCTTGGTTTTTTTAGAGAAGAAGCCGAGTTTATCGAAGGAGAAGTGGTTGAAATACAAGTTGATCGTCCAGCAACGGGAACGGTAAGAATTGGTCAAAGTTTTCATCCATTAATATAATAGATGCGTATCATTTTCTGTTACAGGGAGCAAAAATTGGCAAACTAACATTGAAAACAACTGAAATGGAAACAATCTATGATTTAGGGCAGAAAATGATTGAAGCATTAACAAAAGAAAAAGTTCAAGCGGGGTATGAATAACATAATCGTTTATTTTTCATTTCTACTTTTTTGGGTTTTTTTCCAGTGATGTAATTGCAATTGATAAAGCATCCGGAAAAATATCAAAATTAGGCAGATCATTTACTCGTGCAAAAGATTACGATGCAATGGGACCACAAGTAATTGCATTTTCTATTATATTATGACTTATTTTTGTTTTTCTATTTGTCATAGACTAAATTTGTTCAATGTCCCGAAGGTGAATTACAAAAACGTAAAGAAGTTGTTCATACCGTCACATTACATGAAATCGATGTTATTAACAGTCGTTCACAAGGTTTTCTAGCATTATTTTCGGGTGATACAGGTGAAATTAAATCAGAAGTACGCGAACAAATTAATGATAAAGTTGCTGAATGGCGTGAAGAAGGCAAAGCTGAAATTGTACCGGGTGTTTTATTTATTGATGAAGTACACATGTTAGATATTGAATGTTTTTCATTTTTAAATCGTGCATTAGAAAGTGATATGGCACCTATATTAATTATGGCAACAAATCGTGGCATAACAAAGTAAGATTTTTCTCATTCTAGGACTTTAATTATTGTTGTTATACAATAAAATATATATTTTCTAGAATTCGTGGAACAAATTATACAAGTCCACATGGTATACCCATTGATTTACTTGATCGTCTATTAATTATTACAACAACACCGTATGAAGCCGATGAAATTAAGCAAATCTTGAAAATTCGGTGTGTACGCGCATATTAATCGTAGACTATAGTCTTTTTTCTAAAATTGATGCTCGAAGTCTAAATACTACTTTTTTTATTCTTCGTTGTTGCTGAATATTCACTTAGTGATTGAGATGTTGAATCAAGCTCTATATAGACACCATCATTGGTTTTCCAAAAAGTAGATCCGTTGAAAATCGTGTGAATTCAAATTTTTCTGTTTTCTTCGACTTGTTGTTGCATAGAGTTCGTATAGGAAAGTTTGATAGTAGATTGATTCGTTACAGTAGAATTCAATATTACTTTTTATTAAATTTTAGTTGTGAAGAAGAAGATGTTGAAATGTCCGATGATGCTCTTACAGTTTTAACAAAAATAGGTAAAGAAACATCATTACGTTATTCCATACAATTGATTACATTATCGAATATTATTTGCCGAAATCGTAAGGTAAACTAAATAAATCACTATGGTCTACAAGTTTCTCAATTATTTTCTTTTTTTAGGGTCGTGAAGTAACCGTGGACGATGTTAAACGTGTCTATGAAGTATTTTTGGATGAAGCACGCAGTAGTGAAATGTTGAAAGAATACGAACAATATTTTCTTTTCAATGATTCAGAACGTATGTACTAGATATTTAATAGTAATATGAACAACACAGAATGTTATAAACAGATACTGTTTTCTGCATTCTTCGTGTTGAAAAGAGAGAGAGAGAGAGAGAGAGAGAGAAAGATGTACACTTGAAAAGCTATTCTAAACAAAATCTATGTATTTTTCTAGCGGATCCAGCGTCTGAAATCAAAATGGAAAGTTAAACGATATTAAAACATGTTGTTTATTTAGGAGAATGTCTCTGTTTCAACTTGTGTTTTTTGTGTTTTTGTTACTGTTTTTTGTATTTACTTTTTTGTACACATACGTGATAACAATAAAAATCTTATAAATTCCAATGATCTCTTCGTCAATGTATATACCTTGAGAATTTTTCAACAAAGTAAAACTTCGTCAACTATTTATTGCATGTTCTTAGAATTAACTATATTATTATTGACAAAAATATCCACGAAGTTGAACTGTAGTATTATTTAATATGTTTTTTTACACATATTTTCGTTTCCACTCGTTTTATCTTTAATATATATATATACTTATAAAGTAAAACAGTCATAATAATGATAGACAGATAGATAGATAGATAGATACTTATTTTTTAACAATATGTCAAAAGTCTCTTGATTTTTTCTATGAAAACTTATCTATATCGATTATGTCCTATTTTATTCAAAGATCATTTATAATTTTGTCTTTTTATCAATGATGTGGATATTATAGTTGCCATGTTTCATTTTTCGTTGTGTGAATATCATCGTATATAATTACAAAAGAACATGTTACAGAAAAGTTTTTACATTCCCTCAATCATCGTTAATTCTTTCAATATTTTTTCCAACATTTGGTCAATTTGCCTAAAATCATTTAATAGGAGATGATATTTTGAGAAAATAATTTATCAATGATGATAGTTTTTTTTCAATAATGATAATATTTTCTGAGTTTTTATCTATTCCATATTCTCTTTTCTCACTAAATTATTGCTATTAGCCTTTTGAAAAAACAATTATTTTTATCCATTCTTAGCTTGTTAGTATGCATTGTCAGTATATTATACGATTATTTGTAAGATAAAATACAGATATACTATCTTCTTTGTTATCCAGATCTAGAGATATTCATTCACTTGAACTGGATTTTTCGAGATAGTCTATTTTTTTCTGACTGTGTATGAATAGAATGAAATAAGAAAAGAAGAGCGTGATATATTATTGACAACACAACACAAATTAGTATGATTATTATTATTATTATTATTATTATTATTATTATTATTATTATTATTATTATTATTGTAATATCTATCAATCATCGTTTCCCAGATAGTTCAACATTTGTGGCGTATATAAAGAGAAAAGAAAAAACATACAGATGTGATAAAGATACGATAAAAAGGATTTATTTATTTCATTGAAATAAAAGTCTGCTAATAATCCAATTGTCCAATGTCTGTTACAAATAATAATAGTTAGAACGTAAGTATACTTAATGATTACGATTCTTCTTAGCTAAATTTAAAAATTAATGTAAAATTTTAATAAGTTTAAATTTTGTATATTCCTATCATATTTTACTTACATTCTATTTAATGGACAGTCGATTGTTCAAGATAGTATTTATTTATATTTTACACAATCTATTTATTTAATTATTTAAGATATGATGCGCTTTGTATCTAAGAAATTTTTTAAGAACTCTAGTCTCTTAATATTATATCTGTTTAGGGGTAGTATATGGGTCCCATATTGATAGTATAGAAAAAACATCAGTTTTCATTTGCTTGAAAAAACAACAATAAATAAGAGAAAAGAGAATAGGATATGAGGATGATGATCGAACTTATTTTTATTCTATCAAATTGCGTATGTATATTCGCACAAAAAAACACAAAGATAAAAAGAAGATAATGGAGAACATTTTTTGTAAAAAAATAAAAATATTTACTTAATTAAGAATCGATATAGAGAAAGAAGAAAGTAAGTACATTGAAATTTATTTAAAATACTGTAACTTAATACCAATACCTGAAGTTCAAGCACATTTTTTTGTTCTTTTTTTTCAAGAAATACCACAATTTATTTCATTTTTATTTTTTCTTGTCTTATGCATTAAATAAATCATCAATCTTCTATAATTTTAGCTATTTCATTTATATTTGAATATAAGTTACTAATGAAAAAATATATAAATTAAATCAGATGATTTTGATTCGTCTTTTTAGGATTAAATTATTGATCAATAATCAGTACTTAGAATGTAAGTTAAATTGGATACAAATTATTATTTAAAAAAAAGCAAGAAAGAAGATAAACTAGTTTTCTCAATAGAAGGTGATGACATTTCTATTAAATCTTGTTTATCGATTGTTTATTAAGTTAGCAATGAAAACATCCATATTAGAAATGACAAACATAGTTTAATGTGATTAGTTCATCTCTAAAATGGTTGATAAATGAGCTCAAATATAAAAAGTTAGAAAGACGGTGAGAATCAAACAGTCTGATGTTTTTGACTATACGGATCAACTTGTCAAAATTAATTGATTGTTGAAAATATCTTCGCACGAGCTGTCACCAGTCAAAGTACCTAATTTTGTTAATTACGAAATAATATTCACATTCAAAAAAGTATAGCACTATTATCTTATTCTCGTTCATGTTGTCATTTTTTACCATATTTTATTATCCTAATTATTATTCTTTAGGAACTAATAATTTTACTAATAGATAGAACAAGAAAAACAGCTCAAAGGAGATAAAAAGAGAGAAATTAGTTTTGCTACTTATTTTAAAAAACTAAAAGCATGACAGACCCCAAAGGATCCAGTTTCAATTCGTTGACACGTTAATTAATTTTCCTGAGTGTCGACGGCTCACAGACATCTTTCATCTCCTCGCCCAAAATATTGTCGATGAGTCAGGAAAATAGTTAAGGTGTCGATGAATCGAGAATATACCCTCTAAAGACAATATAGATAACACTAATAAACTTTGCTCCATAAAGACGATGAAAAATGTAGAGTTTTCAATAAAAAACTTTCCGGTTGGTTTGCTTCAAATAATTTTTAAACTCGAAAAAAATTAACGCTAAGTAATATGATTACGACTTGCAGAGAAAACGTAGTAGACATTTATTAGTTTTGCAATAATAAAACATTTTTGCTTATGTTACCAGTTAAACAAATAGAGAAGATTTTGAATATATTTTTTTAAAATGATAATCTTAACGTTTTTTTAGAGCTAAAGGAAAGGACACCAAGTGATAAATCGCTTCTAGCTTAAAACTTAGTAAACAATAGGTAATCGAATGTGCTGATTCCGGATACTAACATGAGACGGGCCGCTAGGCCTCCAAAGACTGGATTTCT